CTCAACCACTGAGCCACGCCGGCCGGGCATCCTGTGCATTTTTTTTAAACGGACATGCCTGCACCTCCCTCTCCACCCAGGGCATCAGCATCTCTGAGGCGGAGCCTGAGCTGAGATCTCACGATTGGGAGGAGCTCCTTGGGGAGGCCCCAAAGTCTCCGCTCTGAGAATGAGAATGTGGACCTGCCCGTTCTTTCCTGGCTCCTTCAGCAACAAGCCCCTCCTCCCTGCGCTTCCTGGGCCAGGCGAGCACCTCGCTGGGTGCAAACCCTCACAGTTCGCCCCTGGGTCCTGGGGCAGCAGCGGCCTGGCGCCTCCTCACCTTCTCCAGCATCTTCTGCCAGAACTGCCTCCAGAGGATGGTGACAATGACGGCCAGGAGGATGAAGATGATGGCCACCAGGCAGCCAATCAGGATCCGGGTGTTGCTGTCATCGACTTTCAGCATTGGGTCTGCAACCAGGAAGAGAGAGAGAACGCCATCATGTCATGGGACAGGAAAAGAAGGGGGCCTGGACCAGCGACAGGCCTCTCAGGGTAATTCCTCCGGTGCCACCTGGACACCTGCTCCCTCTCGGCCTTGCTACTCAGTCCTCTCGCCTCCTCCTCCTCCCGTGTCAGACGGGATCACGGACAGCTTTCCAACTTTCCCCAAATGTCGTCCCTTTATCACCGAGGCCGGGGCCTACGGGCCCCTCGTCACACCTGAGAACCAGGTGAGGGCCCGGTCTGCGCTCTCTGAGATGTGACAACTCGCCAGGCTCGTCTTTGAGACGCAGGGTCACGCACTTCCCAGGTGCTGGCTCCTGCGGCCATTGAGTGTCTGAAGCTACAGACACAGGTCTGCACATTTATCTCTGATTAGAGAGGCTGGTGCTGCTCTCAGCGCCCCACCCATCCATGGACACGCGGGGGGCCGCGGGTAGAAAGGTCTCCCCCTGCTTCTGCTCCCATTTCCCCAGCTCTCACAAAGCCACTGGAAACAGGCCACCTCCGCCTCGGGCGAGCACAGGCCGGGCAGGGAGGAGCAGAGGCTGGGCCCACCTGTGGGGGGCGCTGTTTCCGGGCAGAGCCACCTGCGCCAGCTCCCACACAGACAGCAGGTGCAGTCTCCGCCCCAGGAGCTCCTTTCACCTGGTTTGTGGGAGGCGGACTCACCGTAGGTGGTGGGCGCCCCCGGCGAGGCGGGCAGGGCCCCGGAGGTGTTGTACATGGCAGCATCTGTTAAAGACAGGCGGAGTCAGAGCTGTGGGCGAGGAGCGGGCAGCAGTCTGCAGAGGTGGGCCCAGCCAGCCCAGCGTGAAATCAACTTCTCGGCCGGCCACTCACCTTTCTTAACCATAAAATCATGTCATACATTAAATAAAAACATCACCATTCATCTACTGAGCAAGCACAAATTTTGTAAAACTTTTGTTTAAGTTATTCTATACTCGTGCCATGGTATTAAAAAGAAAGAGAGAGTGATGTGGCCCTGGCCCATTTAGCTCAGTGGTTAGAGTGTCAGCCCACGGACTGAAGGGTCATGGGTTCAATTCTGATCAAGGGCATGTACCTGGTTGCAGGCTCCATCCCCAGCCCCAGTTGGGGGACATGCGGGAGGCAACCAATCGTTGTGTCTCTCTCACATTGATGTTTCTCTCTCTCTGTCTCTCCCTCTCCTT